TATATATATATATATATATATATATATATATAAAATCAAAATTTACATTTACTGAGTGGTTGAATCGGGTAGTGTAGAAGCAATGCCTTTCAGTTTAGCGCAAACTTTTCGCCCCGTGAACTCGTTTGAGGATGATGGTATGGTATAACCGTTAATCTGTCTATATTTATCCCTCACTTAACATATTTATTGTTTTCCTTATGCCCGACGTCCTTTCATCAGTCTCCCCGCGGGCACTACCACTTGGGCTACCAGTAGTGGTACCCGGCAGTCCGCACGCAAAGCTAGCGCACCAGACAGTACGGCAGACAGTGTGATTTCCTCCACGAACGAGAGTTTACAGTCCAAAGTTCCTGTATCGAGGTCTGCAGCTGCTGCACTCCGCTTGTCGTTGGATCAGCGTCGACGTGCTATCGAGGCTGGCCGACAACGTGCTATGATGGCCAATCACCAGGCGGCAACGCAACGTCATCATGCTGCATTTCAAAAGTTGCTGCAAACCGAACAGGTATGCGCACAGTGCCAAAAACGATGTGATTTAGCTCGTTTTATGTTTGTGATTCCTCATGTGTGAGACAGTTGTTTCTCATAGGGTTGTTTGCTTCTTTTGTCTGCCGATATTTCATTGTTCGTTTACCACGGTTGGCTCCTTGGAGAGGATGAGACGGTTCTGCTGAGACCATGAATTCTTCTGGGTACTTGGGACATGGGACATCCTCAGCGTCAACGAACTGTGCTGATGAAGCAACTTTCAGCATTTGCACTGCCATGTGCGAACTGCAAAGAAGCAGTGGGCCTGTGCAGTGTTGTCAGTGACTTTCCATTAGTTCATCCACTATTCGATTAATATGCAGGCATCCCTGTTATTTGCACAGACTTTTGTATGATAGCTTTTAAATCACGTGGTACTACCAAGGGATAGCCATCTTGGCATGCCGCTTGTCAAGAATTTCAGGCCTCGGTTACCGTTTAATTGGTTTAGTTTAATTTAGTTTATTCGGGTATGGCCGCAGATGCCTACTTCCTGGTCTTGGAGCTCCATCTGATGGACACTAAAGATGTGGAGTATACCCTAAGGAATATGACAGTTTATTAGGCATTCTATTCGTATAATATATCCGTCCGATGCGAAATTGGTACAATATGTATTTCAGAAGAACAATTCTTTCTGTTCATTGCTAACATCGGAATCTGCATCGTAATATTCTGTTTGTCCACTTCCTCACTGTCTTAGCTGTTTGCTCACGATCTGTGATGCACTACTATCAAACCTAGTTTCAGGTTGGTAAACTTAGAAGAGAATGGCGTGTGTGTTTGTGTGCATGGTGTGTTTACGCAAGTAATTGGTGAACCTCAGTCTTGTATTGGCTCCCTCACACGTAGATCTCTTAGTTTTTATCCTTCTTGGGTTCTTGGTGCCGTCCACGTAATCTCCGTTTTGTCTGATATTGCTTTCGTTTCTCATTTCTATAACTCGTTGCAATCGATGGTTGGCAGCTCCATCCCACCCCACCGTTCGTATTTTCCTATTGGCATGCTTTGTCTACTTCAAATCTTACACAGTTGAGTTTCGGTGCCAGTCATCTTGCATAGTAGATCTCCGTCATTATGGCGTCTCTCGGTTCAGAAGTATTCTGTATCCTGTTATGTATTGCAAATTGGACAGTTGTCGAGACCGCAGTGTGTTTCACGGTTTGACTTTATCGAAATTCCTCGTAATCAGTTGACGCTACTGTTAGGTCTGCTCATATTTTTATTGCACATTGTGAGAAATGACGAGGTTTACCTAAGGAGCTGCGTATATCAATGTTTTACACATGTTATTGATTGGTAGAATAGGCGACAAGGATGTACTGTTCGAATATGGGAATCGGTGATTGAAGCCATGTTGTGTGGAATGGCATACTACATTAGGTCCCACTAATGTATATCTATTTATATCCGGGACGGGACGGTGGATATGCACTACTCGTTAATGGGAAGTGTTTCGCTCACCCTTGTGTGGTACAGATTGAATGAACTGATTGGTTATACGTGGAGATGGATTCTGGAGGATCGGTAGTCTTGATGAATGTCACGTGTTCCTCTCACGATTAGTTGTGAGTCGGAGTTTTATATATTCATTATATTCCCCCCAGTTGATACCGCTCATTCCAGCTTAGCCTCTCCCTGGTGATAGTCGGTCATCTGACAAGAGTGATTGCCGGTCCCCGTGNNGATTAGTCCTTCTTTGTGGCTTTCCACGTGACACGGGCAATCGACGAATATCCCGAAAAGATGATTACTTCTATCAGATGTGAATGAAACTAAGCGGATTGGCGTTCATCACAATCAGGTGGTCTGATTCTATCACGTGGTAGTTCGCCAATTGTGAGCCCATTGAGTCTACGCCAGTGGTTAGCATAACACGTGGTTCATCAGAGTCAAGGAACTGCACAACAACGCGTGGACGCGAAATCCTAATAATCTTGACTCGGCCGCTATATTCTCTCCGCCGTTATCTCTCCAGATTTCTGAAATGTGGCATAGACAGCGGTATTCGAACACCACCAGTCCACGTTTATCATTCTCACATGTCTGGAGCCAAAGTTTGATGGTTACTCAGTGGGAAATCACATTGGCTTGCATGCCCAACTGTTGCTCTCCACTTATTCTGAACATAGCACTTGGATGATAAGTAACGTTTATGCATCTTTTTAAACTGTGGAGATGGAGAAAGTGTTAAACAATGATACCTCGCCAGTCAAACAGTATCCTTGTTCCTGTTCAAATAATTGAAACCTCTTATTTAGCACTCCTTTTGTTCAATAAAACCGATCTACGCTGCTGAGCTATAAAAATCGGTTAACTTTCGCTCTTCTGAACTGGAGCAAAAGAAGTTCTCGATTATTGTGCTGTTGGGACTAAATGATGGGTGCTACAATCTCTAAGATTGTTCATCCTTAATCGAGAACTGTCCAGTGGTTCAATTCCTAGGGCAAGTGAGTATTCTAATCGTGTACTCTGTTGTCAGTTCTACTTGCCTCCCCGATACTAATTGCGTCCGATTTTACTCTCTCCTGTCCCTCTCTCCAGGTGTGTGTGCGCGCCCGTTTCCTGTGTGTCTAGATTGTACGCCCGAATACCTAGCTACTCGTGTGTTGGTTTTTTCTGGATACCCATCATTTACTTCGTATTTCTTATTCCTACTTGTTAACCTTCATTTTCTCCGTTACTATCCGCTCACGTTCCCCTGTTCCACTGTGCGGTCCTGCCTGATACAAGCGCGTCATTCGCAACTGATCTCTGTCCAATGCGATCCGCTGTGTTGGTGTGCGCATGCACATTTGCCTGGGCGTCTGTCTCAGTCGGACTGGGACGAATTCGTGTGTGTGTGTTGTGTGTGATTCCTTCTGAATTGCTACTTGAGCACGGTCTGCTAATTGTGGTCACCTTACCTTCCCCCCCCCACCCCAGTCTGTCGTGCTTCGAATTCCGGTTTAGCTCAGGTTTTCTCTTTTGCGTTTTTGGAGTATATCTGCCCGCTTGGTTCGGTCATACCGTATTGGTAGACTAAGTTACTTTCTCTCGCTCTCCGTGTGTGTGTGGATCAGGATAAATTCGTTAACCGACCGACCACAAAACCGATTTCAATGAAGTAATGTAAACACGTGCGTCGTTCACTTCAATTTGTTTTCGAGACCGATACACTTTTTTTTGTGAACTAAAAACAAAATGCCCGCGCGGGTGTTGTTCATGCGCGTCTTACAGCTCTGTGCTTGTTGTCCCACGCACTCTGTCTCGTCTTTTGGCTGCCCATTCGGATGCGCAGTAAGAGAAGGGCAAGAAAGTGGAAGGGAGAATCGAAGAGAGAAATGGAAAATTTCAGTGGACTAAGCTCCCAACTTCCAAGATTACCCTAACTGGGAAAGGAATAGAGAGACCAGAAAAGAAAACTGCCATTTGAACATCTAACCTGGTGAAAGAATCACACAAACAGAATGCGCACAAAGATGTATGGTTAATGATTGTACAAACTGAAACTGAACCGTCGCATCTCCAATAATGGATGTATAAAACATGGGTATAATTGGGGTGAATGATCGGCTACCTATGGGATTTCGTCATCAGTATTCTGGTGTGCCATTCATGCAGCGTAGTATACCTCTTAGATTCGACTTCTGCTCTCTTTTTCAGCTAATCTCCCGGCCGACTAATTACGCAGTTCCAATCCAGATGAGTTATATCTGGAGAGTCGGGATAAACGAGGCCAATTCGTGCATGTATATGTTAGTCCCATGACACGTCCTAGTCGTTTACCTTACTGTGTAGTTTTCTATGCCTAAACAAATAGCCACCGGTCGTAAACAGGTGGCCTTATTTGGTATCATCTCAATTGTCCTATGCAGATTGATTTCACTTTCGATTGTCCAGTTAAGTATTGTTTTAACCACGGATAGCAGATGATCCGCATTAGAGCCGCAGAAGATTGGTGTCAATGGTTACAATTAAATGAGTTATTGGGTTAGTCCACCTAATGTGATTTGCCACACAGTCTGCTTCCAACTGTGTGAAGTGTAATATATAATGTAATATAATATGACCATCCTTCAAACTCTATCTTCAGGCACCATCGCGAGTCTATCGAGTCATCTACATATATAGAAATCACTGTCTCTTTACAATTTCAAATTATAATGTCTTAATTTGAGGTGAATCCAACCAATCACATTCTACTGATAACCTCACAATGATTGGTGCTTCAGCCATCACAAGCCATCGAGTGGACTGGGTCTGTCAAAACCCCGTTCACTCGCAAGGAACAAACAAGAGTACTTGTTGACGGACATTGTTTATGTTGCATGAAAAGGAGCTTTTTCGTTTTGTTTGAGACTTGTCAGGGTTGTATTCCTTGGGGTACGTTACCAAGGCAGATTTTACGTTATGTTAGAGTGACGTTTTACCGTTTCTCCTTTTATACAAGAACTTTGTGTCGTTGATCATTGATCGAGTGAGCTTCAGGCGGTAATTGACCTCGACCTGTCCCGCAAAGAAGCTAATCCCGTTACAAGGAATCAGTACCTCGATCCTCGTGCCCAGGCGTAAATGTTGGCGTGTATCATTGCATAGACAGGTTTAGTCTGGAACCTCAAAAGCCTAGTGAGTAAAGTCAACTCACACCTAGGTTCTCCGGGAATAATACGGCCTCCTATAGACCAAATACGATCACGAGATACCTAATAATGATACAGCGAGAGAATCAGCAGTATTTCATCTGAAGAACACGAACAATTATCAGAACTTATTCACTAGCTAACTGAAATCGCATTTTTCACTGTAATTCCCAGATCCACTACCACATTACATCTACAATGGTAAGAATAACAGCCTGACAATAATGATTCCCCCGTCCATCACATAGACTCTTACTTGTCGCATCATGTTTTCACAGGCTGATTACACCTGTGCGATCTTTATGGTTTACTTTGTTGGGTGGGTGATGATAAGAATGAGCCACGGTTATCCATATTCCTCCAAGTGGTGATAACGTTGTACCATATGGTTCATGGGGTGGGCAGTTCATGTAGATACAATACACGACCCACAGTTGACTTACTCTCGATTTGTAACTTCTTCCTACGTGAGGATGAGTTGCCTACTTTGACCCGTTCCCGGAAAATTATCTGGCAATCAGCTCGAGGTTATATGTGAACAGGCTACAGTTGAAATGACTTCTGAAGGAATAATTAATACTATTAGGTCTCTGTTACCATTACATTTCACAAACACTGCCGACCGGTCGAAACTAGGGCGAAACAGATTCTCAGTGCTCTTTTTCAATCGCTACACTGAAAATAAAATATCCATATCCTTGTTTTAATCTTGGCAAAGAGGTATCCTAAAGCAATCCAACGATATCAACCTAATCGGAACTCAGTGTGAATGTCCGCTGCTTCCTTTTTCGTTCTAGCGACGGCGTGCGAAAAAAGAAGAACCAGATATGAGTGACATGGAAGCAAGCTCGGCGGCCGCGATGGTCTCACAAAGTGATGGTGATCACCTGATCAGTTCATCCGCTGTGGACGGGGATAACAGTGGAAACCAGATGAATAATGAATTCGGCCCGTACGATACTGATCAGTCGGCTGTGTCCGCTTCACAACGAGAACAGGTGACCGATGTGGATGAGGACTTTTCTCTGCGATCCACGGACGCGGCAACTGCTCGCGCTCGAGTGAGTTTTGCCACCTTTACTAACGTTCCTACTTAAATATTTTCAGTAGTATATATATATATGTACTGTTATGTCGCACACTTGGGTGACTTGAAAGAGTGGGTGGATTCCAGATGCGGTAATATCGTAGTCCTAAAAATTACTTGGGATATTTAAGCCAAATAAACAAAATCGATTAAAG